TTTCTCTCTGCGGCGACCATGATTACATGGTATCGGCGACCATGGTTACACGTTGTCGGCGACCATCTTACACGACGTAGGCTACCACGTTAGGGCCAAAGCACATATGACAGTCGTAGTCGTGGACGTAAGTAACGCACAAGCTTTGGCGTATCTTGATTTGTCAGGTCGAGGACTACGACCGTCGTATATCGCTACGCCATGTTATGTGCTTTGGCCCTTACACGACGTAGGCGGCTACGATATACGATGTCGGCGACTCCGATATATGATGTCGCCTACATCTCGACATGAGTGAAAACGCACTGAGTCTACGTTCTCGATGCTGTACCTTTTCGATGGCAGGCATTGCATCTTGCACGTTGCACGGCACCTGCTGACGCGAGTAAACAAACTTGACGATGCGCTTCAAGCCGGTTTGTGCGATTTCTCGTGAAAAACGCGAGCCAGACTTGGTCCTGTCGGTTTTGATCAATCGTCAATTGTGATTCATCGTTTCGGACGTGGAGCGGACGGTTCCTTCCACTCGGGGTGACTGGTGAGGTCGGTGAGGATGAGCGTGCGGCAGTACATCCATCCGAGGAACAAGTATAAACGACCGCCGGATTACAAGCAGCTCGCGGTCATGTATCCGGAGTTCCGCGAAATCGCGATAATGGTATTATATTCTCTACAATTTATAAATTGCAATACAATGTAATAATGTATGTAATAAATTACATTTGTAACGCGAAAGAAACTTAATTTAATATAATTGTATTAATATCATGTTTTATTGGAATATATAACATAAATATATTAAATATGTAACGTAATGCAAGTATAATATAATAATATGCGTTTCAGATCTAGGAAAGTAAGGGAAAAATCAGTAAAGCATAGACAAATAGATTGTAGAAAATGTTTACGCATACTTATGTCATGTATTTTCCTCTTTTGTAAGTGTAACGCACTTAAATGAGACGTGAAATGAACAGAATGCTTTTTGCCCATGTTGATTACCTAGGACTTTGTGGGAAAGGTTAGGATCGACTTCAAAGAGAGGAAGAGCCTGCACGTGCTTACGGAGACACTTTTGAAGCATGATTTTGATCTACATGTGAACATCCCGGCGGATAATCTGAATCCGGCGATTCCCCTGCGCTTGAATTATATTCTGTGGATGGAAGATTTGATGACTCATTCTAAATTAGAGATGGACAAAGTCACGGGCATCGACATCGGTGATTAGAAACTGCTTTTGGAAATGCTTTCCCAAAGTGTCGATAGAACTTCTAAATTTAGAAAATTTAGAAATAGAAAAAATGAAATTATTGCAATCATATTATGATTTTAAAGTAATGAATGTTACAATGTTAATCATAACTGCAATGGTAAAGATAACTTTAATTAAATGATATAATATTATATGATTTGATTCATTCATTTTGTGATGTACATGTATGCTTAATATAACATTTTAGATTGCTATTTGAGATCTCTGAACAATTTTGTTTCAAATAGGAACAGGAGCAGTTTGTATATACGCTCTGTTGCTGGCAAAAATCTACAAATGTCAAGTGATTGGTACCGAAGTGAATGAGAGAAGCATGGAGCATGCCCAGAAATGCGTAAGGAGGAACGAATTGCAAGATTTAATTGAAAGTAGGTCCTATTAAACACTCTTTTTCTTGAAGCGAAAGAAAAGCTAAAAGCTGATAGATACCTTTAGAATCAAAACTTAATTCTTCATGTAATGGGATGTTCTGATGTAGTAATTACAGTGAACTCCGATAAAATTTTTAAGGACGTGGTACAGACCGATAGAGTTTACGATTTCTCAATGTGCAATCCGCCGTTTTTCGAGAGCGAGGACAACGGCTTCGAAAAAATCGTGAAGGTTCTGCCACCGAGAAATGCGTCTACCGGAAATGATGGCGAGCTGAAGATCGAGGGTGGCGAAGTGGGCTTTGTGACGAAGATGATCGAAGAGAGTGTTGAAGTGGGAGATCGAATAAAGATCTACAGCACAATGATCGGTAGGAAAGCCGATCTGGTCAGTTTAAGACGATTGCTAAGATCAAAAGATATAAAGAATATGACGTGGACGGAATTCTGCCAAGGGCACACAACACGGTAAATAAACGTATTAAATTAATAAATCATTAATAATTTTTTTAAATACAACATCTATATTAACGCAGATTGATATTAGTTTATTAACTACTTAGTTATATTATATCACTAATTATTTATCACTTTGGAGTTTATTAAAGCTGTATAGTATATTTGTCGACAGATGGGGTTTGGCTTGGAGCTTCCTACCGCAAAGTATTGTGAATCTCACTACAGCACCTGTCATCAGAAAACGCGGAAAGTCCATAGTGCAATCGTTGAGAAATTATAAAACTTCGATAACGTTTCCCGTGGAGGATAAATTTTCTTGCGTAGATGATATAATAAGCTTCTTGAGATCAACGGCGGAAGAGTTAAACGTAACGCATCACTTTCCTTATTTCTAACGTTAAGTTTGTGGATTATCGTGACGTTAAGTAATTGAGAGTTAATTTTGAAAAATTTCGCAAACTTAATTTTATTACTGCAACAGGTCAAATTGCAAGATTTACCCGTTCCTGAGGACAGTTTCGACGGCTGGGCGTGTCAAGTAACTGCAAGAGAAAGATCATGGGAGCATACGCGCAGAAAGCGGCGTTTAGCGCAACAGATTGTATTAAAACGAGCGAAAGGTGAAGATGGCGAGTGTATTGAAGCGAATACGTGCGCTGAAGAAACTTCGAAAACTGAGAACGTCACGACGGTCACGACGAATCCGCACGAAGAAAATTCTGATAAAGAAATACCTGACAAAGACGTCCCTCTGCTTGTTTGTAAGCTCTGGGTAGAGGCTGAAAGCCTTGATGATTCTCAGGATGTAATTACACAATCTGACGAGATACTCAGGATGTGGATGGTGTTCGAAAATGGGTATGGCGGTTTGGACGCGTTACATTCGCTGCGACAGTACCTGATAAACAAACTGGGAGTGAGGGAGAAGATTCTAGATAATCCGTCAAAATTTAAGAGAAAGAAAAAGAAGACAAAAGAGTCGCTGCTCTAGTCGTAATCAGGCGGTAGAAAGGATTCAGCGTACAATAAATAGGTTGCAGAAAATTCTGAAGGTTCTTAAATTAGATCGCCATGTTACATATAAAACAATTTATTCCATGCAACATGTTGAAGAAAATCTGTAAGGATAGTAATGTATGTCTACAGGATCATAGTATATGTAAACCAAGTTTGTAACGTTCTTTTTATTTTATGATATATGTGAAGTTTTGTAATTTTATTTATATAATTTCCCCCCCCCCCCCATAATGATTATTATTTCTCTCTTTATAATACAATTTATCTGAGTGCAATGCGGTAATTTGTTATTACGATTATTATTGCAATGCGAAAATGAGCCCGTCGAGAGAGACGGCGGGCAGAGGTCGACTATATCGATCGGTCGATTAATTGGTTTTTTTTTCTATCACTGCAGAAAAATTGCTGGTGTTTTCTTCAGGCCTGAAAACTCGTAAAATCTACGAGGGCTATAACGGGAATAATCAACATTATTTTCTGCAATAATAAAAAACTTCGCGACACGATTACTATCCGACTATCGGTGTCGCGGTCACTGCTTTTCGGCCGAACCGCGGCGAGAGATTTCGGATCGGGCTACGGATAGATCCGTGGAGCGGGTAAAACAAATTATAATTAATATTAACAGCGGGATAACAATCGATTCTTTTACTTACGGTCCTAAGACTATAATCGCACAACTTGAACTCAGCTACGACATACAATGACTCGATTAACATTTGGCCATTGCGTCCTTAATTACAAACATGATCGGTTAACAATACCATTCGCTACTTTATACTATTATCATCGTCATTCTCGATACCGCATTAGAGATGCCTAGGATATCTTTATATTAAGCAGGCGTCTGTTAATAAGAAAAAGAATATCCATAAAAATAAGAGGAAGCACTTTCTCGCGAATTGCTGTAATAGAAGATGAAATAAGACGAATTATACTCGTATGGATGAACTGTAAATATCGTAATACTTTCTTCTTTTTCTTAGCGGTGGCAATTAGGATGGAGTGACGACAATATGCCTGAACGGCACAATATGATAATGTCACAAAAAGGAAAAAAAAATGAAACATTATTGAGTAAATTCGTATAAATGGGTGCATGCGCTAATGTATATTAATGCAGATTAAAGCATGTGTACACACATCTATGTTGCGCACAACATATATATGATGAAATATTCAATATATATTTTAATAAATTGCAAAATTGCAACATGCAAAATCATACTCAAGTCTCGTAAATTCACCTGCTTATGCATGCGTTTTGTGTAATACGACAGCCTTTAATAAGCACTAATACATTCAAGAGTGTGTCGAAAGGGTTGCGAATTCGCTTTACAAAATAATAGAGAAAAGGAATTAATTTCGAGAGTCTGATACGAATTTAGTCAAGTTTGAACGTTACTTAATTTGATGAAATTAACAACCAGCACCGTCGATGTATTTGTATCACCGGCATTTTGCATGGTAAACAATTTAAGCCTTAAAAAATTGCGTGATCGCGTGCGTGCAAGTGAAGAAATGGTATTGCTTTTTTTGATTTCACGCAATGGCGAAAAGGGAACAATCTCTTTTACCTTAATTAACTTGAAGATATAATCTTCACTTAAAATTGCTCTCTTTAAGCAACATGGCACCTGTGTCTTTATACACATTTGATATAAATGTGCATCTTGCATGCAAATTCAACCTCGACGGATACATTCCTCCCTTTACCTTCACAAACACACTACCAACGACGGTAATCTTGTGTCTCGTCTCTTTTTTTGAGTCTCGTATCTTAATTGCGTTTAAATGGTATAACAAAAACGGTGCAAGTATCAAGTATATATATATATATATATATATATATATATATATATATATATATTATATATCGTACACAACGATCCTCGCGCGAAATCGTCATTTTTCACGACGAAGGACTAGGGCTTAGAAAAAAGAAAGGAAAGACTACTAATGTTCGTCGTCGGCAAACGAAAGACTCAGCTCTTCGTCGCCACGCCCGACTCTAAGGCGCCAATTTTGCTAGCTTCCAAGTCTTTTGTTGTCTTCTGCTCGACCTTCTCGACTTTTTCCGTTGCTTTTTTTATTTCTTTATCGTTCTTCTTGGAATTCTTTTCGGTGATTGCCAGGACGGCTTCGCCGTCATCCGGCGACTGTTCCTTTTGCCGCTTTTCGATCTCTGCCTTGAAGTTATCGATATCCTGCTGGCTAATTTGCACGAAAAGTATGCCATTGATAACGTTGAGCATGTCCAGCACAGAGCCCATGCTAGGCGGCTGCACCTGAATCGGTGGCAGGCTTACGCCTGACTTGCCCGTGTAAATCTCATTCATTTTCTTTTGTAGCACGACCGCTTGCTGGGTCAGGTGGCGTAAGCAATCGCTACTCTCCTTCGTTTTCTCGTGTTCCTCGCCCAGCTGCTGCTTATAAATCGCGTAGGTCTCCTTCTCGTTGTTCAGCGCCGCTCGAAAGTCACCCATGCATGACTGCGTGCGTGCTACTAAGTGATACGATACCGCAACCTTCAACGAATGAGGACCGTGATAACGTAGATTCAAGGCTAACGCGTGTTCCAGGAAACGCAACGACAACTCGTACTCGCCGACCGCGTGCAGAATCAGCGAGATGTTACTCTGCAAAAATCAAATATGATATTATTATTGTAATTCAAATGTTAACTTTTTGGGAAATTTATGATGCCTTAAAAAATATATAAAACTATTTTATAATTATATTATAAAAAAATTATATATATATACAAAATATAAAAATAACCCGTACTTTGTAATTTTTATACGAGGAATTTCTGATTAGACTTACGTCGAGTAAAGCCACTTCCGGGTGATCTTCACCGCAGACTAATAATGCTAGATAACGTGCTCTGTACAGTAATCTTAATGATACGGATACTTGCCCGTTGGCAAAAGAATATAAGGCGAGATGTATCTGCAAACAAAAAACAATACATTATTCATTATTACACTGTAAAGAATATTACATAATTTATATTGTCCTTTGTATATTTTCTGTATATATCAGTAATATAATTCACACAGTGTATAGGTCTATGATGCGTAGAATTATTTTTTTTACTTTGCACTGTTATCATTTTAACAACTCTTATTTATTTTAGGAGGATTGTGATATAACTTACATATTCTGTTATGGTGTATGGATGATCAATACCATTAACCCTCTCCGACATGAGCACAGCCTTCTGCTGAGTGGCGAGTGCCTCCGCATGGTCACCCATTATGTAGTTCAATCTTGCTAACATTCTTAGACACTGGGCAATTTCGGGATGCATAGCACCATAGACATTATTCAGAAGATTCAGCGCTTCGCTGATTAGTTCATATCCGTCCTTTAAATATCCTTGTTGGATCTTGCTTTGGCCGGTGGTGTAAAAGTTATATGCGTCGCTAGCCTAAAGAAGTTAAGTTGAAATTACTTGGCTTTTTATTGTCACACGCAATTTTACCTTAAACGAAAATTATTCGTTAGATTTTTATAAATTTAAGAATTTTTTAAATTCCTTAAATATTAATTTGAGTAAAAAATGTACTCTTTTAAGATTTAAAATTTATAGTTTTCCTTAATTTAATGAATTATTGCTTCACAAATTTACTTTTAAATTTTTGATTAGCAATCAGTTAATTAATCTTGTTTGTATGCATTTAAGATCGACTACTTACTCTAGGATTGATATGTTTGACGACGGGGAAGATGTTCAATATGTCTTCTTCGAAGAACGTCGCACGGTTCTTGTTTTCGAAGTTGTATTCGCGTAGTAGTATCTGAATACCGGTCTTGACGCAGAAGCCGCGCAACAGTGAAATTTTTTGTAAATGGAAGTGTTCTATCGTGGCTTCCACAGATTCCGGGCTTGGTGTTTCCCAGTCATAATAAGCCTTTAAGTCACCCTTAATTTGCTGCCATAATGATTTAGGCGTCAACGATGCCCACTCTACTTCCGACTGCAGTGGCCCGTTGTTCCTCCCCTTGCGTTTATTGCGGCGTTTGGCAGTTTTGCTCTGAAGCTGAAATAAAAAATTGTTTAAATTTAGCTACTGAAATTTAATTACACGAAGTATAATCTTTTTAGTAACTATTTGTTGTTCTTCACTGTTTTTATTATTGACTTGCAATTAACAAAATCTCAATCCTCTTAATCGTTACTTAACTTGACCGTTAATTAATTAATTAATAATTATGCATGAATTATAAATGTGCTACAATTAATCGTACCTCTTCTAGATTTTGTTGCGGGTGTATAATCTGTGCCGACGACAGCAAGCAATTCAGAAAGTGGCTGACGGCCGCGGATAGACTCATCAGTTCCGTACCCTATAAAATGACACATTTACACAATTGTCTCTTGCATATTTATTAAACATGCATAATTTTATCTTGCACAACTAAATATTGTACCTGCATGTAAGAGGTAAAAATGTGTTTGGCCGATCGGAGGATCAGCTCAGATACAGCAATGCGGTTGAGATACTGCAACTGTGGTACCGCTGCTAACATAGCCGCCAATTTACCGAGATAGCGAATATTAATGCCTCTACCATGGAGAGCCTCCACTAACGTGCTACCGTCCATCGCGGCCGCTGTATGATCCAGACACTCTCGAATCTGGAACAAAGATTTTTTTGAGAAAAAAAAATACAATTGTAAGTACATTCAGAAACAATCCACATTTTGCATCTAACTGCAGAAATACTAAAAACTTGTGCTGCTAAATTTTACGACGAACTTACAAATGTCGGCAGTTGCACAGTGAGCAAGAAGTCCGCGGCGTCCTTCACCAACTGCTTCTGCTTCTTCAGATCGGGACCATTAGGATCTGGATGCTTGACGCCGGGCGAGAACACGTCCGGATTGAATCTCACGTCGAACTCGGCTTCTCGCAGACTACCCACCGCCGTCGCCGCTCTTCGTACTATCTCTCTCGTGCTTTCCTCCACTATCACCCAGAAATAAACCTTGTTACAAAACTAGTTCTCTCTCGGCCTTATAACAATATATTTCTTTATAATTTATTCTGTTCAATTCTTTCTTCTTTTTTCCTAACAATTTTCCTCTCTCAATGTTAATCAAATCCTGATAATTCTAATAAATTCTGATAATTGGTAAAATTTTGAAGGCTATTTCTTCACATATATGATCCTATATGGTCAATGGATGCATGAAAAGATAACACGCACGTTCTTGTTTCTCACCGCCTGTGATTGAGTCAGTGATGCTCTCAACAATCTTCTTAGCCTCATCAGCCTCTATTAGAGATTGAGCGCAGTCTTCCTTGTTACTGTCCACTGTTACAATAGCAGTCGAATCTTCCTTTTTGTCCTCCTTCTTATCTTCCTAAAATTATTGGTCTGTATTATCTTGTACACATACTATCTCAAGTTATTCGCATTTGAGGAATAAATGTAATAAAATATGAAATATAATATAGAAAAATATCTGTTTACATGTACCTTTACAGTCGTCTCTTTTTCCTTTTGAGATCTTCTAACTGATGTAAGCTGTTGAAGATGAACGGCCGCGTGCTTGATAAATTGAACGTACCTGGCCTCGACAAACGAGTCTATGAGTTCCTGCCGCAGACAGGCCAGTCTGTGCTTGTGTTCCACTGGGAAACCTAAGGCTCGTGCTTCTTTGCTCAGTTCCACACCTTCAACTGAACGAGAAGAATGTTTTCCAAATGAATAAAACAGCTTCTTTTTCACATTATAGTAGAATTAGTACTATTCGACTCACGTTTCAGAAAATTTACATCGGGTGGGAAGGTCCTCAACAAATCAAGCACATAATGCCGCGAATCGTTACCAATGATACCCTTGCATTCCACACTGCTACAAAGTTCGATTTCCTCGCCTGCGTCGTTGATCACTTTATGAGGAAGAATTTTCAACTGCTGCCCAGCTTTGTTTAACTGAACGCGAGTATTAAAAATATTTGAGTAATAAGACACATTAGATGATACTACGATAATTATAATGACAGTAAAACCATTAACTCTTTTCCTTAGTAAAAAAAACTAATTAAACTGAAGAAAATTTATTGAAGAAATTAAACGAAAGAAAAATGTAAAAGTAAGATTAATTGAAACTAAAAAACTGTAATAACTGATTAATCAATTCCTTCAGCTTTTACATTGTAAAAGGAAAACCATTAATTTACTATTTTTATCTCCTTTTCAATATTTTTCTCAATAATTTTATTATTGTTATGCAAATTTTAGTTATGTATTTTGTTTATTTACCAATTCAAGATACTTTGGATGCGTGAGAACCGTCTTCCCGAAGTCGATCGACCCATAGACTACCGATTGTTCTTGCTCGCGTTCCAGTATACCTGGTATGATAGATTGCGCGGTGACGCGGTAGCCTCTAGAAAATTCACATAGAACAGATTATTAATTAAGAAACACACTAATAAAAACCCAGGAAACACACCTATAATCGATGACGACAGTGCCGAGAGTATAGAGACCGGGCAAGTCCACAGCCGCATATACTCGGACACCTTGCAGATCATTGCGAGGCGCAACAAAGGCCGCAGCGTCACCGCCCAACTCCTTATAATGATCGCGCACGTCGAAGCCGAGCGAGAAGAAGATGTTGTTCCAGATGAACATCTGCATTTTAGCTTCCTCGCCAGGATTGATCGCCATCACGTTGCCATCGATAACCGCCACCGCTCCGCGAGTCGCGGCCGCCACGAAGTCACTGTGGACCTAAACAATGCAAAAATAATTAATTATTAGAAATTATTTAAAAACTCATTATTAAAACTATTAAAAAGTGACACTTATTTTCACTATTATATAATATTATTCCAATTTTAAAATTATTATTGTACATTTATAAACATAATTAAAAAAGGAATAATTTCCCACGAAAAAATAAAAGATAAAGAGCACAATTTTCTCTGTACTACTAGTTTGGAGACATTGTATTGTATATTATTATATCAAGAAAAAGGGTTAACGGCAAACCTTAAAAATGGCACGCTCTCGTAGCAATCTTTCGGGAAGGTTTTTACGCGGTAATTCCCTCGTAGTTTGCAGTTCCTCGTTCCAATCGCGTGTTTGTCCCGGGATGTGTTCCTCGTATCCCAACTTAGAGGAAAAGGCTAAGAAGAAGATTAATTAAATTAAATTTCTATAACAATTTTCGCAAGCGGTATTAATCCATTAGCACTTTCGAGTGATTAAAGCCAAATGTAACACAGGTAAATAAAGTAGACTTCGGTTAGAGAAGTTTCTCTACTACTTCCAGAACTTACTGTCTTCCGCGCGAATTGCATCAATGGTGTGTTCGATTTGCGGTGCGCTCCAGGCATACAGCTGATAAGGTGTGGCCACTCGTTCGAAGGGATGCCTCTGAGTCCTGCGCCGTTGCATAGAAGCAAATCCTCGTTTAAAGGTTGGACTGAGCTGATTCAACAGCTCGATCAAACTGTGACATAAATGGCTAGGTGTAGCTGGTTTAGGATTAAACACTTCTTTGGTTGACTGGTTGACAAAGAAACCTCTGGCGCACGCGGTCAAATAATATTGCTTGTCCTCCAATGTGACCACGTGTAAGTATATCAGATCGCCGTGAAGTTTTCTGTGGCCAGGTGGTGGATTCCATCCTGACGTTGTTAGGACCTAGGGAAAATACAAAAGAAATTTAGAAACCTTTTGTCTTTTTCTTTCTTGGTAAAGGTAGAATCTAATTTTAAATTTTTTAAAAAATAAAAAGAATACTTAATCATCTTTGAGCAATTTTTCTTCGAAGCGATTAATTTTCATTATTTCGAATAAAATTAAGATAAATATACATAATCTCTTTACGTTTTTTAAATAAATTTATCTAAGCTGTATTCTTTAGATTTATGAAAAGATTTTCTAATATCTACTTTCCGAAATAGAAAATTTGCATCCAAACTAAAGAACTTTTCAAGAGTTTGATCTTTCTTAGCCTTTTAGAGAAGGTTAGAAAAAATATCAATAATACAGTATTTTCATCATGTCAATTCAATATGTAACATATCTTTTCTTATTTTATTCTTTTCCAACTCCCGATTAAATTATCAAATGACTTCAAAAATTATGTACCTTGAGACACGGCGGGCACTTTTGCTCCTTCGCCTGTGGTTGGAGAGGCAACAGGGGCCTATCTCTACAACCGGGTATAATGTAATCGGGTGGCGTGCAATCGACCGAATCCGCCCGGGTCTTCTTCTTCTCTAGGATATCACCGTTCGTGACAACATTGAGAAACGACAGGCTGCTGCACTCGACGCCGTTGTAAGCGTCCGCGGGATCCACAGACTTCAGCAGATCGCGTACGTGTCGCACATGTATGCGCGCCTCCCGCATCGTGTACGGCTCCTCCACCACTTTGATGATCGAGCCGTCCTTCAGGCCCTCGATATTCTTCAGTTCGGCGAAGTTGTCCAACGTGTTGCCATCCAGCTGCAGTGAAAAGCACGTGCGGTGACACGTGTCTTCGCGGTCCATAAGTAACTGATGAATTTCCTGCAAAGAAAAGACATCAGTAAATAGTAGAGATATTAGTTTAGGCGTTGATTTCATCGAAATACTTTACAGAAATCTTGCCATAAACTTAACATAAACATGACATAATATAATAAATATGACACAAAGCAATGAACACAAAGTTTTAATAAACAAAAAGGGATATGCCATTAAAAAGAAAAAGTTAGAAAGTAAAATTAAGTTTAAAGTGTTGATAAAGACAGTTCATTAAGTAACCTAATAATATAATTAATTGAAACAGTATGTTTTTAGGCAGTGTACACATGACACTTTTATTATTCGAAAGATGAACGGTTACCTGTACGAGCTCCATACTGGACACCTGAATGTCAAAGGGTTCAGAACCGGGACTGACAATCTTGACAGTGAAGCCCATGTCCTGAATGAAAACAACTTCTTGCTCATTCGAGGCATCCTTCTCCTTGTCAGTGCCGTCCTTCTCGTTCTTATCACTGTTTTTATTGTCTTCATTCTTCTCCTTTTCACCTTCCTTCGTCGCTTCAACTTCCCCCTTTTCCACAACGTTCTCCGTGGCCGTGCTTGTGCTTCCATTTTCATTTGCCTCCTTGCTCACTTCTACGAATAATCCATCATATGTAAGGAATGGTCCCACGAATTATCTCATAGACTTTTTAGTATTATATAATTAAGAGATGTATTTTATGTAAAAAATAAATACTAAAAAGAGATCCTATACTTTTAATAAATCAACTAAAGGGGCTTAATGCCATAACAGAGTATTCATCTTTAATAATATTTCTGTGTGAATTTTTTCCAAATCAATAAAGACCGACAAATAATCAACAATTGCGGTTTATTGGTTTAAGGACACGAATGACTCTGAGAGAGTCCGTTTTTTCTTTCAATTATTTTATCAAAATTTTTCCATTAAATTTATTGGTGTATGTAATTGTTTAAATTTTTACGGTTTTAGGAGTTATTAATACACAAATAATCAAAAGTAACTAAACTCAAATTCATCTAAACTTTCAAATTTCTTTGAAAATAAGTTTTATTTACAGAATAACTTGGGGAGATTTGACATTATATCCGGATCTCTATTTAATACATTTCATTATACGAATTCAGATTAGACGAAACAGTCCTAAGTGACGAGATAAATAAAAAAAATTAATTGAATCAGAAGAGAAGAAATCACAGAATACAATGACTTGCTCTCGCCCTGACACTGAAAGGAACACGACGCATTTACAAGATATAAATATATCTTCGAGTCAAAGTAGTTTCACGTTGTCAGGCGCACTTTCCGATGCACTCTCAGACGCACTCCCTCACCACTCGCATTCACCGGTGCGCTTATAAATAAGCGGCAAAGTAAATAGTACGCACCGTACTATTTATATTGGGGCACGTGTTTGCAATACGCATCGGCTTCGGAGTGCCAGCAACGATCTATGTCAAGAGAATGCCTCTTGAATCGTTAGCAGCAATAATAATTACGTTATCTTTTGTCATAACAACATTTAGTCTTGTCGATTTAGTGTTTCTCACACACATTCCCTGGAATCTCTATTTAATTTAATCTCTTATTATATTATTTGTTAAAATCTAACAGTACCAATTCTTACTAAACTAATATCTATTAATATAAATCATTTTATACGTGGGGTTTTTATCTTATCTCTTTCTTATTGCATCCTTCTCTTTCTTTCTTAATCGCTTTAATCGTTGTTATTAAAACGAACAAAATCATTAATTATATTAGTTTCTATAAAATTAAATTCATATAGATGCATCTTTTTCAGTCAAAAACGCTAATATACATTCTTATTATAATTAATAACAAGAAGTTTTGTTTTTATAATGGTCGAATCGGATGCTTGGCATTCCGATTTTAACAGTTCGTAAAAATGTTTAACCGCGCAATTAACACATAGTTTTATACAAATGATCGCAATTTTCCGCCATCAAGGACGCCATGTCAAGTTTCGTAAGTATCGTCGACTTCGAGTAATCGTCAACGACAGCAGTCGAGTCGCGGCTACTGATAAGAGACCTGTCCCACAATTCAAGTGCCGAGAATCACATAAACCATGAGTTTAGAAAAAGTCGACAAGACAAAAACAAATTCTATAATTTAAGTAAATAATCCGTATATATTAAATTTTTTTCTCTTAAGTGATTCTTTACGCATGAGGATACTTGAATCACGAGGTAAATTGAATTAAGTAAGAGATGTTACAATCATATCTTCTATGTAATAAATGAAAACTCATCCTTGACAATTAGATAACGGAATTTTACGGTTTGAGACACTTCGTATACAACTCTTCCTTCTCATTCTTTTTATTAGCGCTTATCGCCTACTTTGCTGTCTTATCACCGTGTTATCGTGTACGGTTCCATCGTCGTTCTGTGTAGAAGCATTGTACTCCTGTTACAACGCGGTATGTTAACGTGATGCAGAGATAAGACATTTTATCATAAAATGCGTGATAAATGGTGGGAAGGATCTATGTGGAGAAGGACCACGAAGATTACAACGAATATTATCGATAAGTATATTTAGAAATAACATAATGATAGTAAAATATCGTAAAAACGTGTTATATTTGAACTTGATATTTTTAATGAATGCTTAAAAGATGCCATTTAAAAATCTTTATCTTAAATATATAGCGTTATAGAGAATAAAAAAGAATAAGAAAAAAAATTAGCTTCAGTCGAACGGTTCAACTAAAAACTAATATTTAAAGTTATTGAATTTCGAAGAACTCACCAATTGTTGCATACGTTTTATAACTTAATTATTTCGGTTATTATACGGATATCTATTATTAGCTGTCTAAGTTTCGAAATAAAATCCACTAAAAAGAGGCTGCACTTAAGCGGCTAAACAGATGATAACAATATTCACGACTCACTCGTAATAAGAGGCAGATAAATAGAATGTATGCGGTGACGTTATTAGGACATCGCTGCTAATAATTATCGCGAACAAACGATCGATATTATTCATCCATTTGTCTCTCAAGCGGAGCGTGATAAATACCATCGCATCAGTCTCATTCATACGGCAATGCGAAATTCGCGCGTGGCTTTAAAATATCATTCATAAAACCCTCTCACGACCAGATGACCATCAATACTCGCGAATTGCCGCGTGCTTTTCTTCTCGCCATTTAATTTAATTCACCGGCGCGATCCCCATGACGGAATCGTGATGCGGTATCGTCGTCAGTTGACCCTGGTGAGAAAATGATCGATTAGTCACGTTTTTCAATATAATTCTATATGTATTTTCATACAGTCTTCCAATTCAATCTCCTAATAACTTTCTTTTGAATTTCTTAAGCACACCATGTATCGAAAATCATCAAATACTTTTTCATGAGAGAACTTGAAATACAATTTGGAAACGTAAAAAATATAACTCGCGAACAGATTTATATTACCATAATAAAAAAAAGGGTTAAAAAATTTAATGTTACAGATATCCGATATTAAAGATGTAAAGATTTATATTATAAATTAAGAAATAAAATAAATTTTTTAAATAGGTAATAAAAGATTTATTTAATTTAAGGAGCAAATTTTAAATTATGCCTATTTTTGCGAAGATCAATCCCAAAGAATACAAATATCTAGAAGTAATCTGTAAGACCTCGCAATTTTGCAGACGTCTACTCAAACAAACAGAATCTATGTCAAGAAATTGAAAAGGCGGACGTGAATATATAAACTTGAAGATAGATATATGGGGTAGATAGCTATACCATTTACTGCTAAATATAGCGTCCAAGCGACGGGTTTACTGTACGGGAGTTATGCGAGTTCACGATGCGCCGGAGACACGTGAGGAGGATCGATTTAAACACGCAAGCTCAAAGGTGAAAGTACGAGCGTCAGCGTTAGCTGCAATTGCGCCAGTTAGTAGCCCGAAGCCCGACTCGATTATCATCGAGGGATGTTTGTCTGACGTGCAGAACTCGGGCGGCACAATATAACAGCCGGCGCCGATAACCCCGGCTATCGATACCGGTACCCTCGGCGACTCCGCATGGGCATTGTTCCCTTGATACACGTGCACAAGAGACGGATCGTTAACACGAGACTCTCTTCCCTCCTAGCTTCTAATTAAACCTGCAAATACACGAGCGGTTACACATGGCTCTCACGCCGCGTCTGGTCAAGTTTCTGGGTTTTCTGATGCCACTCTTAGAATTGTTAGAGTAGTTAAACGTTCGTACAAACTGACGTCTCGCCACGGACTAAAAATATTGTTACTTGACGCTTAGAACAATTCCTTTTTCTAATCCGAGGACAATTGTTTTTTGATAATTTTATGAATTTCAAATTTTTTCAAGCACACACGTGCCATTCATCCGTTCCACGTCCGAGAAGGAAAAGTGTGTCCTGAAAAGTATTCGTCGGTGAGTTACATCCTTCAAACCCTCCCATCAATCAACGCTGATCTTTGAAAGAGGAACACGTGTTCCATTGCTTCTCTCCCTATACTTTTTCCACTTGTGTCGGTTGAGCAAAGAGAGCAAACCCTAACAAAACAATTGAGAAAATTATTTTATCTCTCACAAAATCGAAAAGAAGATTATCCAAATGGCAAATTCAAAGGCAAATCAACCCCAGAAGATTATCTAAAATAGGCGTCTGGATAATTTCATTATGATTGTACATCAATAGTCGCCGCATTGTCGCCGTCTCAAAGATAAATCTTGCAAATCATTCGAAATATATTTCTGGTCTTGAAAATGTCAACATTCGTTCTAATCACGAATACATTGCATCATATATTGACGTCATTCTGAGCATCGGTGTTGCATCACCCCCGGTCGTTTATCTTATGTTATAGTATATTATACTATGTATATTGATTATGTATGGAAATTCGTCGTACATATCGCTAAAATCGATACATTAATATATATCCGATCTCAATCCAGCGTTCACAATCATATCGTGCATTGTGCAACATGCATCCTAATCCTAAATATTACGTCATGCTGTTCGTTTCGCTTTAAAATTCGAGACTTGTAAGTAACGGTACCCGCGGAGGACCGGCGTTCACGCAGAATCGATACTTCCGATCGATGTTTTCGTCCCGAGCACAGCTGGAGATGTATTACGTAAATGCGATTACGTTTGTGGCGCGTGTGTCCTCGTTATCGTCGTGAGGGTCGTGAGTGACGATCTACAGACGGATCATTGGCATCCCTTTAGAACCGAATCGAGATGCTCGCTTGGAGAATTCGTCATGGATCGGCCGAGCTTCGTGAGTTCTCATTCCGAGTTGCTACCGAATTTTGGGGAATCCCGACAGGTCGCATCTTTATCCGAAATGCCGAAATTCCCGACACGTGCTCGAAGCGTCCTTCGCCAGTGTTTTGGAGTTTGGCAGGTAAACGCCGCCCACAACACAGAGCATAACATCCAACAGATATTTAATGGATATCTAGATAGGAATGTATATCTAAGGCGGTTTTTCAAATTTCTCAATTGCGACTTTGTCGCATGAGAAAGACAGAACCTTGCACTGTAATCTCGTGTAGTTCCGTTCGCAAGTACATCGGCAAGTTCTCGGGTATCTGAGTACCCCGCGAGAAGCGGCTCGATCTAAGAGACCACAAGTTCCTCGCTCTCGGTAACTTCCCAGACAAATAGCACCATGTCCAAAATGGGGACGTAAGACGTCTTTTTAGACATTACATCATAAAATGTCTTAATTTTAGTTCTAACTGCACGATACATGCTGTCCCTAAAGTTCAATTTCATTTTGTATGTATGATAAACTGCAGTATTTTTATATCAAGCAAATATTGTCGTCAGGTGACAGCTCTATGTGCCCAAATTTTTAATTTCTTTTCGTTTTTTATACAAAATCGATTGTCGTACTCTAGATTTTTGTGTGTACTTTAATTGTGTAAAAGAATTTTGCAATTCTGTAAAGTCAATTCAAAGATATCTTCTAATAAAAAGATGTCGGTAATTCTGCTACTTTAAAATCAAGACATAAGACGTCTCAAAAAGATGTCTTCAAGATATCTTCTGTCCCGATTTTAGACATGCTTGGTGTCTCGGTTTTTTCGAATACCTCCGCGACTCTCCATGACTCTCTCGAGAAAGGTCTCGATGCGACTCGACCGTCCGGAAGAATCTCTTATCTTTGAGAGCGAGTTTGGCGGCGATTGGCGATTCCCAGTATTTCCACAGGTACGAAGGACGGACCGTCTCGGCGTGACGCAGCTGTGACGTGGTAAAGAGGAAAGGGAAGAAATGCGGATACAATTCACTCAACATTCAGCTCGAGAAGAAGATGCTTTGCTTTCGCCGGCCGGAAGGGAGGTCGGTAAGAAAATTCGTCCATTGGCGCCGCGGCGCGTCTTCTGCTAGGCCTCCCCCCTCCGCCGGCGTCCCTCCTCGTGCTATACCGCGGCTCACATGACCCCGTGTGCCGAGAATGCCGAGATTCGCGCAATTCGTAGAGTTACATAACGCGCCTCACGCTCTATCTCGCTCCCTCTCTATCTCTCTCCTCGCTCGATTGAGGCCGGCTTGCCTCGCGCTCGATGATCTGAACGACGAAGCAAAACGGTTCCGACGAGCCGCGTGAGCCGCCGTCCTCGTCGGGAATTACGAGACGAGGACGGTGTTGTCCCCGTCGAGGGATTACATAACGCTTGCGGCTCGCGGATCGTCGGAGCGCGGCGGATTAACCTTAAAGAAACGGAGCGCGGCACCCTCGTGGGTGGGCGCGCGAGCATCGGTACTGACCGGTCACCTTCGTGGCATCGTGCACCTGATCGCCGTTCAGCAGGGGTATCTTCGCGCTGCCGGTCTCCCGCTCGGACGTGTCGATCTGTGCGCCGACTGCCATTTCCGCGACTAGGCCACTCGGATCGGACTACGAAGAACGAAGAAAAAAACGGGAACGATAAAGACGACGACGACGACGTCAGGGTGTACCGTGACGACGCGGTTTTCTATTTCCTCCGGCTGCCTTTCTCCGCTCGCGCGAAGCACGCTCTCTCTCCGTCCGTTCGTCCTTTACTCGCTCTCCTCGTTGCGATTTACGGTCACGCGCACGCACACCCTTTTGAATCGTTCGTCCGGGACGGAGAGCGACGACGACGTCCGACTTTTCAACGGGGCGGCACACTACTCCGGCACACTGCACAGTATATGCTGTGACTCCGGCGCGCGCGAATCCCACGGCTTGCACGTGCGTTTCGAACGGGGTACAGCCTGCGGCGCGGCCCGCGATTGGTCCGTCGCGGCGGCACGCGATTAGTCCGTGCGCCCCTGGTGCTTTTTTTGCGTGCGCTAATAAATAATAAAGTCCCTAGAAACGCATCCCGCTCCGCTTAGCTCCGGTTCACTTGATCGGCAATTAAAGTGGGAGCACACACTTCTGCATAACGCATAATGCGTAAGCATAAGAAAATTGATTGGTCCATACACATGTGCATAAGGAAATAGACCAATCAGTTTTCTTATGCTTAAAGTGGAAGCACATAAAATTGCAGGAGCCATAAGCAGAATGCAGAAGCATGGTGTAAGAATTACATGGTGTGCTCAATTGCCTGGGGGGATTCGGGTAATGACGTCACTCGTGTCGAATTGTGTAAACAGAGTAGCCAACGTCTAGAAGTAAAACATTTTTGGTGTTGTAATATTGGCACATGTTCATGCATCGTCACACTCATGCCGCTTATGCCACTCAGGCTGGTTTCACATGGGGCGTAAGATGCGTATGCGTAACTTGCGTGAGCCAATCAAATCATCTCAGCTACTATACGCGTATGATACGATTAAATACTGAGACGATTTGATTGGCTGACGCAAGTTACGCATACGCATCTTACGCCCCATGTGAAACCAGCCTCAGGGTGCCGTCCCATGGCGCGTATCGAGATACGCGCGTATCGGGCGTATCGACTCTGCGACCAATCACAGACGATCCGCCGTTTTTGATACGCTTAACAATCTTTTGAACATTGTTTAAGCGGATCGCACACTCTGACAGTTCCATCGTAACGTACGTGTGGGTCGAGCCCTCCTTCTTAGGTTTAGGTGCCATATTGAGTGTAGAAAGTGCACTAGTGGCACTAGAGCAGTAGAGAAAAGAGAAGAAACGGAGTATTTACATACGAGGTGCGTGCAATTAGGAATTATTGCGATCTAATACACAACAGAATACTCAGGAGAATTTGGACAGTTTCCCGCAAAGCTATTCGATCGTATGTACATATGCGTAGTCACGATGATGTTCCAATGAAATCCTGAGTGACACTGTTTTGTGTTTAGGTTAACCCGAATCGAAGGCCGACACAAGCAGGATTGTCAGATTCTCGAGGAAGGGCCGCGTGTTCATCGGACTGAGACACTATACGACCAACGCTATCCGGTCCGACGCATCTATGCCCGTAGTACATGCGGTTAAGGCGAAGAGACGCTCGGAATTGAAGACTTTACTTTTGCTGGCCGCCCCCGCTTGCTCTCTTTGTGATATTTCTCATAGGCGGTGTGAGCAACTTTGGCAGAGTTTGTCTAATGTCGACGGCGGAACACAAAATCACGCAGTCCCTTAGGAAACAGGCGTACGCCGCTATCCTTCAACAGGAAACGGCAATGTTTGACAGAGAAAGTACGGGAGAACTAGTCGGGAGATTGAGCGGTACGTTTCACGCTTTTAATCAGATATAACGCATCATTAAGGCATCGAAATCTATCATTTTGATTTCATTATCCTTTTTTTCCAGAAGATACACAACTTATTAGCTCCGCTGTCACGTCCAATGTATCAGATGATTTGCGCTCTGCTATTATGGCCATTACAGGAATGTCCATGATGTTTTATGTCGCCGTCGCTAGCATAATATCGATTAATAAAAGTAATTTGGTTCATAAAGGTGTGTGAGATTGATTTCTTTCTCGGCGCTGTAAATGAACGCTCGTCCGCACTTTCTCTGTATATTTCGTGTTGTGATACTATTCGCTGTAAAACGTATTCTTAATCAGTGATATATATTGTAATGATTACTTGTAATAAAAATAAATCTGATTAACTGAGTTATTGTCACTGATTCACTCTTCGCAAATTTATTACTGCTATCTTATTTGTTACTATCTACATATTTGTTATTCTAGACTATACTGGCTTCTTTGTTAATTAAACGCCATATCAGGTATATAAGCATTAATTATAACACAATTTTGAATAAATATATTTAATACAACTCAATTTGTGCGCAGGCATAGAAAATAAGAGAAAATAATGACATTAAAAGTAATGTGATGCTAATATAAAAATCTAGAACAAAGTAGAAAATGAATTACAGTAGAAGATAAAAATATATTTTGAAATAACGTTGTTGAAAAAAAGGCTAACATAATACTAAGATAATATATTATTATAAATTTAATTAATAATTAATTACGAAAACAAGTTTTAGACGCGAGAGTATAAATGATTATACTCCTCGAATGGGGGGAAGAGGGCAAAGCTCAAAGATCACCGGCGTATTTGACTCGGAGTAGGGATCTTGATCTCGACACTGCCGTACACCGATGTCACGCAAAAGTCAC